AGTCTTATAAACTCTCCACTGAATGTTAGACTTCACCTAGGAGACATTGGGTGACTTAGTGCTCCCATACTTTTGAGTATCTCCAGGGGCTGGCAGTTGTCGCAGTGGTGGTCCAGACATGGTAGAGCTGTGGTACACAAGTATATGGGGAAGGGCTGTCCTTCCTGTAGGACATGCTTTTGTACTACTGAATTATTAGAGCACAGTTGGAACTACGTCTAAGATGATGACCACACATTCCCAACTCCTGGCATATATGTCCTTGTATGTTGTCTTCCCTTTGTATGCGTGTTAAAGGAAGAACTATGCCTTGTTTCTAATCTAGAGTGTGTTGCAAAGGTGATGGGAGTTCACTTCCTTTCTAGCTGTAAATTGTGTCTTGTGTGTACTTATTCTCTATTGCCCTCTAAGCTTATATATTTGATGTTTGAGAGGCCCATCTGGCAAGAGCATGAGGGCAGCTATTTAGCCAGTGAGGCTTTAGTTCAACACACTTCAAGAAACTAAATCATCACATCTGTTACTTTTATGTTGCTGTGGCCAAATTCTCCAACATAAACAACATAAAAAAGGGAACTTTATACTGGCTCACACTCCCTAAGAGTTCAGGCTACCATGGGGACTTGATGCAGTATCTCAGTTCACATAATGGCAGATGAGGAAGCCAAGACAATGATAGGCAGGGACCAGGGGTAATATTTCTCCAAGGATCTGCCTCCAGTGACCAACTTCTTCCAGGAATGCTCTACCTCCCAAAGATTCTAGAACCTTCTACCAGCTGGAGGCCAACTCTCCAAAGTATGAGCCTGTAGGGAGTGGGCGCATTTCAGATTCCAAGGATATGATCTGCCAACAGTCATGTGAACTTTGACATGGAACCTTCCCCATTAAGCCTTCAGAGGATACATTGACTTTGACACAGTCATCACTCTAGACACTGAACTGTATCTGTAAAGCAGTCATTATGCATTCCTTTATACTACTAAGGTTCTGGTAATGTATTACACAACCATGGGTAGCTATTATCAGTCCACAGAACTTATATTTAGATCATTTTAGAAATACTCAGAGCTATCCCAAATGCCCAGGTAGTTTCTTGCCAAGAAGACCTCTAAATTATTATCTCTCAGAGTAAAGTGTTTGTTCTAAAACCAAAAAAAAAAAAAAAAAAAAAAAAAAAAAAAAAAAAAAAAAAAAAAAAAAAAAAAACCTCATTTATCCTCAGCACAGTGATTTCTCAGCCCTGGATGCTTATCGACCCCATCCAGAAGGTATTATGTTATTCTAGGTATAGAAGCTAGGTCCCTAGGACGGTTAGGAGGGCCCTTTTGTTTGCAGCTCCTAAGTGTCCCCAGTGGACAGCTAGGGTGGAGATCCCCTCATGTGGGATCATATTACATCATTGTCTGGCACTTTGCTGGTGGCAGTTTTGTCCTCCTTTCCTGTGCTCTAAGGTCTGGAAATGCTGACTTCCACTCCCAGGGTGCTCAGCCTCACAATTAAGACATGATTTTAATAAAAGCTCTTTTTCTGTGTCTGGTTTAAATTTTTCATTTTATTGGACAGGAAGGCACAAAATGCCAGGCCATGTGGCTCATGCCCAGCCATCTGGCAACTAGAGATTCTTCTCACAGGACAGAGGATAGAGCCAATGCATGAACCCTTTATGGGAAGCAGTAGTCATTAAAAAACACTCAGATAATGGAAGTTTCATCTCACTTCCTTTTAGGGCCTCTTCCCGGTTACCTTAGTAAAATCCACAGGAACCCCCCCCCCCAGATAAACCAAGTAAGCTTTTACCCCTTTGCCTTGTGAAATCTCTGGTGGCAAAGCCAACCAGCTCTAGAGATGTCAAGGGGACAGCAGCAAGAAGCGGGTGTGAGAAGGAAAACAAGAGCTTTGAAGCCTGTCTCTATCCCAAGAAAAATAGTGTCAAGCCAACCAATAGGTGACTTTTATGTCCCATCTATAGTTAATTACACAAGATGGGAACTGATGGTGCTTATTTACAGATGTTTGCATAATCCTTGCCTTTGGGAAAGCTGGGAGCTAGAAGGGTTAGGGTTAGGGCTGAACAAATAACTTTGGGTGGTGGCATATCAGCTGCTGTGTGGAGGATTCTCAGGATTTGAATTTAAAATGCCCCCCCCAGGGTGAATGTGTTGACTGTTTTGTCCCTGATGATGGCACTATTCTAGGAAGTGGTGGACTCTTCCAGAAGTGAGGATGGACTGGAGGAAGTAGTTCCCACAGGGCATGCCTTTGAAGATTCTACCCATCTCCTGGTTCCTTGTCTTTCTCTGTGCCCTGTCTGGCATTTGATGAAGAACCTTATCCACTGTCTATTGCTGCCAACATGATGTTCTGCCCAAGGACATGGGGCCAAGTACCCATGGACTGAACCCTCTGAAACCATAAGCCAAAAGAAATCTTTCTCCTCTGAGTTGCTGCAGTTAGGTTGTATGCATTCTAAAGCAGGGATTTTCCTTAATGTCAGAACTTAATGGGGACTCAGGTTCCAAGCAATAACTTCTGTGGCCCCTGCATCTGGCCAAGAATAAGATAGATTCGAGGAAGAGGAGGCAGCCTGAGAGCTGCTTGCATTGTTAGAGAGGAGAAAGTGGTGACAGGGTGACAAATCAAGTCATTCTTAAGATGAGAGATTCCTTAATGCCAGCAGTGGGCAGGCAGGAGGGCTTGGTGGATAGAGAATGGACTGAAGGAGTTTTAGGTCTTTGGGACAAAACAAGGTTTCTGCTTCTGTGAGAAGGATTTCCCACACAAAGAAGCAGGTTTAGTTCATATGTGACCTATACTACATGACCAAGGCAGGGAAGTAGGGCATATGTGACTCTAGTTGTATAACATGGTCATCTTTCCCTGAGAGTGACCTGAGAGAATGGGGCCTGCTTAATGTGTAACCCATGCACTATAACAATAGCTAGACTGCTCTGACTCCCAGGTGGAAAGAGGTGGGCTGGGTGTGTTCTTGCCCTTCTTGCAGCTCTCTGTGCTTAAGACCTCATTACTTGAGGGCTTGGCTTCTCAAGAAATGAAGAGAGTCATTACTGCCTCCTTCCCTGAATCTCTCTATTCTTCTGAGGTACAGAAGCTCAGCACAGAATGCTGCTTTGTTCTCCCCAACCTCCTGCCAGGTATTTAGTTCATGTTGTGTTGTGTTAACTGATGAGGATTCAATGGCAAATTTGCCACAAGTCCTACTCTGGGAGCTCACAAATGAGTGAAGTGAAAGGTGGTTAATGCTAGACAATAGGAGTGTCCCTCAAGTGTCATAGGACTATGGAGGAAGCAGTAACAGATTCCACCCACAGAGGAAGGGTTACTCACATTAAGGTTTCTGTGATGTTTACTTTTTGCACAGTGATGTAAATAGTTTACACCTACGCACTGGGCTCATTTTCACAACGTTGTGCTAACAACATTATTGATTCTAAAACTTCCTTTTGTGGCATTGAGGATGATCCTGGAACTCCATGCATTCTAACTACCACAGGACCACACCTAGATTGGCTGATGTTAGTTATAGGGATCAGTCCAATGTTTACTAGTTGGAGCATCTTTTTCATCTGTGCAACACCATGACCAACCACACATTTGGGTAACTTATTTGGCCCTGATTCCTCTCACAGCTAACATGCTCACTTTGTGTCTTGAAGTTCAATACACTATGTGTTTTCTGTGCCTTGGAGAAGATTTCCCACAGGCACCTCTGAGTGGAAGATCAGAGGATGCCTACTCCTCCTCTTCCCAGGGATGCCAGTACTCTACACTTTCAAAGGGAAATGTGCTCCAGATGGTATATAAAAATAAAATAAAACAAACTTTTAATTAATGAGTCTTAAGTAAAAATTTAGCTATTTAGTAACACTAATAAGTTTTTAAAGATTTATTGATTTTTATTTTATCTGTATGGGAGTTTTTCTTGCATGTATGTCTGTGCACTATATGTATGCAGTGTCCATGGAAGCCAAAAGAGAGTCCCAGATCTCATGGAACTGGAGTTACAGGTGGTTGTGAGCTGCTCTGTAGGTGTTGGATTGAACTCAGATCCTCTGAAAAAGCAACCAGTGCTCTTAACTGCTGAGCCATCCCTCCAGCCCCTGACATCAGCTGCGTTCTAAAAGCTAGCAGCTTCCACTATTTCCAGTACAGACAGTTCTATTGGAAGCCTCTGGCCTAGGCTTGCATAGCTACACATACAGACATTTTATTAATGGCAGTTTTGTTGTCATTAGAAATTGTAAGTTTAAGTATTGGTTGGAGAAAGCTAGTATAGTTGTTTCACAGTGGTCAGGGAGCTGGGAAGATGGTGTGAAAAAGGAAGAAGAAAGTCTTGGTGATAAGTTTTGAATCATGTAAGTGTTTCTTTTTGATAGTTTCATAAATGCAGGAGATAAATGTGGGAGCACATAGTTTTGGCCATCTGCTGCCTGAGAGCAATAGCCTGGACTAAAACCCAGTCCTCACAGGCTGAGAAAGTCCTACTTATTGTGTGATTCTGGAAAAGACACGTTGTCTTCTGGTACCTGCATTTCACAGAAGGTACCAGAACAGACTGGAGAAAGTGTGCCATGTTCTGAGTGACGGTAGGAGTCATCCTTTTATGGAACATTAAACATTTCACTTGGATGAGTAACAGGTGGCAAGGGCTGTGAAAAGATGATGAGGCAGAAAACTGTGGGACCTGGGGAAGTTTCCTTTAGAAAGACATCTGTACATGTCTGAAGACATTGATTAATGATACCTCCTGTCCCCTGTGAGCAGCAGAACAGGGGCACAGGTGTGCTGAGAGCTGGGAACCCAGGGGGAGGGAGAATCAGGTCATATCCATCAGGGACTGGCAGGAGAGCAGGCTTGAGCAGTGCTCTGTGTCCCAGAGTCATTCCCACATGTCTCCCCAGAGGCTTAAAATCACTTTTCCAGGCTGAAGATGGAAATCATGAAACCTCACGGATCCAAAGACATGCCCATTGTCTCTCCACTGTTAAAATCACTGCTCGTGTTTATTGGAAAAACAGAACATAGCACATCTTGGCTTCCACAGTTCTGAGTCCTGGCTCTGTTGCCTCCAAGCTTGCCATTCACTTGGGAAGCAACAGAACTGCTTTAATTAAATGTTCCCCAGAAGACTTAAAGAGAAGGCACTCCTATGTAGCAAATTCTGAATAGTACTGCTAGAGGGGCTAAGGGGTGAGGGTGGAGGAAGATCGGTCCCAGAATAGGAGTTCCCATCATGTCCAGTCCAGCCAAGGGCACAATACTCATACAATACAAGGTACTTCTCATAGAGATGTCTGGACTTCCTAAAAGCAGAAGGGGACCAGTGTGACAGTAATGGGCATTTTATCAGCCTCATGTGTCTGGAGTGGGCTTTGGGTGGTTGACATTGTAGAGGTAAAGGATTCTTTCTGTTGATGGGACAGCATAGAAGGGCATTTGGTCCAGAGGGATGAGTAACACAGCTGAAACATGGTCAACCTTGGCAGTGGTAAGGACAGTGAACACTCTTATTGAACTGCCTTGAAGTTTTCTTTGCAAAGATAACTTTTTGTTAAAGAATTGTTTAAAAGAAAGTGCACTGTTGTGCAAGTATTTCTATCAGGGTATCTACAGATCTTTTGTGGGGAACCTGAACCTGGGCAGAGAGCATGTGTGTGATGCCAGATAGGGCTTGGGGGATTGCGTAGAAGCTTGGGTCAGAATACCTGGACAATGCCCTTTAGGAGCCTGGGTGGGAACATAGCCCTTACTAAATCCCAGCAGGCAGGGAGATGCATTTGCAGAGTAGACAGTCTCAGTGTTTTGGGGTCATTGACCTTGAACTCAAAAGTGTGGCAGCCTGAGCAAACGAAGTTAAGACTCCACAGTATCGTCAGAGCTCAATTTCAACTTGGGAACAGGGGTTGAAAACATCTTTAAATGCCCATCAAAGGAAATCTGGTTAAAAGTATAGTAGGGCTGAGTGTGCCGCTCAGTGGTAGAGATTTGCCTGGAAAGCACAAGACACTAGTTCAGTTCCCAGCATCATGAAACATGGTGTGTCCACAAAAAGCCATCTCTCTTTAGATTAAAACAACCTGTAGGTATCATGTCAGCCCTGGGGAGCTGGGGTTGGAAAACTGATATAATTTACCTTTACCAATTACCAGCTGGCTCAGCTTGCTGCTCACTTCACCTGTGATGAACTCCTTAAGTCTTAATGAGCTTCGCTTTGAGGGAAATGCTAACTGAGTACGGATCCCTCCACATTAGCATGTAGGTGCCCTGCTTCTAAACCCATGAGCAAAAGCAGCAGAACATTCCAGAATGTTCTCTATGACTGTGGTTCTTCAGAATGCATGCTTGTGCCAGCTCTGGTTGCTGAGACACTGACTCTCTTTTAAATTAAAAGCAGTCTCCTGATATCTTCATTAATGTTCTCTTCTAGAATGTTCTCTCCACAGTGAAGAGAATCTCTAGCGACTAAGGGCCAGACCCAAGACGTCCCAGAACTCGGGGATCCTACTGTCTCTGGGCTTTAAGGTATTTGTGTGGCACCAGGACAGAAAAGGGGCATGGCACACATAGGGTCTGAAGCCGAGTAACCAGTAAGGTCAGCACCCAATGAAAAAGAAAGTTAAGACTTGCCATTTTACCCAGTTAGACTCTACCAAATGCCTAATGGGTATCTCCTATAATGTTTGAAGTAAGTGCGTTTACAGAACCCTCAGTTCCTTGGGACAGGCAAGGCAGGCCTGCATCCACCTGCACCTGCTACCCGTGCAGGTAGGGGGCGCGCGCGGGCTCCCGGCCCAGAGCGTTGATGTGCTGCTGAGCACCTGCATCAGCCAGCTTCTCGTTGAGTTTTTGGTTGACCAGCTCCAGGTGGCGGCTGTTCTTCCGCGCCTGCCTCAGAGACCTCTTGACTTTCTTCACCCGCTCGCGGAGCTGCCTGTTGCGCTTCTCCAGGGTGGCCACCTTCTGCTGCAGCTTCTTGACGTGGTCCTCTTCCTCAAACAGGGCCTTCTGCACCGAGGAGCACATGAGCTGCAAGGCAGAGACAGAGCAGAGCAAGAGGCAGGTGAGTCTCTGAAACTCCATCCAACGCGGGCGTCCCACCTTCTCTCTCCACCCGGGCGTCCTACCTCACCCCAAATACAAACAGAACCTTCACTTTGCTCTTCCTTACAAGATTTTGCATTTAAAATATGTTCCTGGCGGCAGGAAGGAATGAACTTCTTAGAATTCGGTAGGCATATGCACAGGGATATAGGATAGTGCGCAAGGGAGGAGCCATGGTTATCTCTTGAACACACCAGCAAGTGTTTAACCTTTCTGATGAAGATAAAAGCAGTTTAAAGCCACCGCAGGTTACTATTTTCTACAGATTGGTGGATGGTGGGGCGATAGTAAGGATTAGACGGAGAGCCTCAGGCATATAGGCAAGTGTTCCTTCCGCCTTCAAACTGTATCCTCACCCCTCCTTTCACATATTAGACTGAGTCAGGATTTGAGGTAACAGGACTCTACTGGACAGTGCACTCACATATGCAAACTACCAGGTATACAAACAAATTGTAGCATTGTTTGTTATTTGCTTCATTTTGGGGTTGTTGAGGATTAAAACCAATGATCTCAGAACATGCTAAACATGTGCTTGGCCTCTGAGCTATATCCTGTCATTTGTTATTTAAAAAGAGCTGAGCAGAGTAATGCAAGACTCTGTCCCCAGCATTTGGGAGGCTATCAGTTTCAGGCAAGATTGGGCTACACAAGAGACTTTGACTCCAAAACTTTTTTTTTTTTTTTTGGTTTTGTTTGTTTGTTTGTTTTGTTTTGTTTTAGTGTAGAACAAAATAAAAGTGTTTTTGTTTGTTTGTTTTGTTTTTTAAGGGTTAAAACATCTTTGAATGTCCATCAAAGGAGATCTGGTTCAAAAGTTCAGTGCAGCTCAATGGCAGAAACTTGTCTACAAGCAAGCACAAGATACTCAGTTTGACTCCCAGTTTCATGAAGAACAAGTAAGTTAGTATATAATGGAAAAGCTTTATGTCTTGTGTCTCTAAGGGATGATGTGGCTCTGTGGGAACATCACTGAAGCAAGTCTAAGCCTAGGTGTTAATGTAGAAAGCACAGTGTAGAATGATGTGGAGATGTGATATGGAGGCCATAGAATGTCATCTCCATGGATACCTATGCTTACATATGTGTATGCTCTCTCTGGAGGAATACACAAGAAACTGTGGCAATGGCTGTATCCTGGGAGCAGAGGGGACCGGAGTGTGTGGAGATTGGCCTTTTTTTTCTGTGTACTTCTTGAATCTTGTGCTAAAAGTAGATTCCACTCTTACAAAGAGATAGGAGGTCTTCTCACTACTACGAGCTATCTGCCCCCACCTGTTCTCCATTTTCAAGAGCTGTGCTATTAAGCAAAGGTTTGAACCTCCGCTTCATGTGTCAAAATAGAAAAAAAAATCCAGAAAGTTTCCCAGATCAAAATTTCATTTGCCACATGCTAAGCACTACCCTGAATTTCCAAATGGGGTATAGGCTTCCCCAGCTGTAGCCTGACACCATCTCTCAGACCCTTAGTCTGCCTCTAACACCTGCCATTTAAGGTATACTCCTCCTGCTTCATTTGTGGACTTGTAAGACCTCTGTAGGTACATCTGTACTGGAGTATGTATGTACAGACTGTTTACCTGCTGTCACTCAGAAACCAATGGAGCATAGTAACTATTCATACCTGTTGTGTTAGGTATTCTACACAATCCAGAGGTGGTCCATGCAAATATACTGTGCCAATTTGGAACTTGAGCACCTGCAGATTTGGTATCTGAGGAAGGGACCCAGGACTAGTGTCCTTTACATGCTGAGAGGAGGGACTGTGTTCATCTAGCCCCAGCCACCTGCCCTGCAGTACATCAGTACAGTTAAATGCAGTCATAAGGCAGCTGCCCTAGTTTCTCACCTTGCCTTTCTGCTTTTAAATGCCCCCACATCAGGCAAGCTTTTCTTGAACTCAGTGTGGTGAACTGGGCATTGCACCAGACACACTAGCTTTGGGACTGGAAGGTCTGTTTCCAGCTTCTTGGAGTGTTACAAGTAGACTCTCCTCCGTTGATTTTTCTGGAACCTGCCCTGGTTTGCCTCCCCTTTGCTGGGGCATTTGTTAGTCATGATACAGGGTTAGGAAATCCAGGGTCCTCATCCTGTCTTGAATCATCCCTGAAGGGCCATTTCAGCTTTACAGGGCCCCGGTGAAGTTGGAATTACAGTCTCACCTTCTCCCTGGTCCGCCATTTTCTCTTGCCCTGAGGGCCCCAGGTATGCCTCTAAAGCCAGGAGCATTCTCTGAAAATTCTCTGGCATGCTCCCCTCCTCTCAGGTCCCATTTCAGGAAGCCTAACTGGCCACATACAGTTTCCTCATAAGTAACCACATGAGATTAACCACAGGGTGGAACGATTTAGTAAGTTTTATCCAGGCAGTTCTTAGACTCATGCCTAGTGCATAGTAAAAGTTCTTTAACAGCCAGTAGCCCATGGTCAGACCCACCTACACATCTCCAATTTGTGCACCACAGGCTTCATCCCAACATGCTGATTCCTGGTTCTTCCTCCAACACGTTTTTCTCCTCATCTCAAAGTCTGTGCCATAGTCTCTCTTCTACTATAGTGCCGTTTTCCCACAGCTCTCTCTGAGCTTTTTTTTTCTTTCTTTCTTTTTAAAGATAAGTCTCATGTAATACAAGCTGGTTTCAAACTTAGACAGTGTAGCCCAGGCTAGCCTTGAATTCCTGATCTGCTACCTTCATCCCTGACTGCTTCGATTCTAAGCATGCGCTACCATGCCCAGCTGTCTGGCAACCTCATAAGCCTTCTGTGGAGTCACTTTCATGTTGCTACTCATACTCTCCTATAGTTATTCATACACAGGGATAATGAATTTGAGTGCCCTTGGAAGATCACAAATTCTTCAAAACCCAATTCAACATTGGCCTTTGGCAATTTGGGACATATGAAAAAAAGTAGTTAAGGCAGTGTTCCAAAATTACTTGTCATTTAATAGTTTTGGACTCCTGGAATGTCACAGCTGCAGGGAGACCCACATATGCAATACTGCCCTCTTCTGGCCAAAATTAATCACCCCCCCCCCACACACACACACCACACACACACACACGCAAGCGAGAAAGTGGGTAGAGGAACCTCTTTGAGGAACTCATTATTTCTATCATATATGTGTGAGTGAGTAAGAACTGTGTATTTAAAAATTCTCTATATTCAGTAGCCAGAATAAGCACTTTCTATTCACTCTCCTTATATCATGGTCTGTGTATGTGTTATGGTAGATTCTTCCGGAACAGAACAAAAGAAAATAAGTAATATACCAAAGCAAGGGGCCCAAAGCCTTTCCATTTAAATGAAATCCATTAGTATATACTAAGGAGTTGAAGGGATGGGGATATGAACAATCACCAGGGCAAGGTTTTTCCCAGGACACCAACATTCCTGGTAGGCATTCCTCTGACCAAAGGGTAATGAACTCCATATTCTGGGAGAATCCAGGGCAAGAAGAACTACAACTCTAGCAAAAATAACACACCCATCCACAGATGCCTTGACAATGACCTGAGGAGACCAAGAGGCACCAAGGTGTGTCTGGGGAAGTGGTGTATAATGAAGAAAGAAAATTACAAAGCAAGGTGAAATATAATCCTTAGTGAGTGCATCACTGTGGTCCTCATAGCTTTTCCTTCTACTGATGGGAGCTAAGAAAAGACATCAAGGGGCTCACAGAACTTATCCAGTGTCGAGAGTAGCAAAGCCATAATTCAAGACTACTATCACACTGGTCTCTCCTCTTCAGCAAACATGCCATGTACATTGAGACAATACTATGAAATAATGAAGTGGGCATCCTAGATTCTGGTCATCCTCCTCTCCCTCCTACACACACACACACACACACACACACACACACACAGAGTGAGAACTCCTAGAGGAGAGCTATACTTTTCAAATGCATGTTTCTTTAAGAAACTCCTCTTTGGGAAAAGCTTTCCAAATGAAATTAATCTCTAAAAATGTACTGAAAAAAAAAGTCAAGACATGCCATTTATTCCTTTAGCTTTGAGGTGTTTTTCAGTATCTGAGCTGCAGAGGGGAAGGCTGGCAGGTACAGCACATTCTCTTTGAAGACCTGGAAAGAAGGACCTCAGGGAGGAGCCCTGAAGCCACAGATTCCCCAGCTCATCCTTGCAGAACCCTGGCGCTTCCCCAGATCACCTGGGGAAATGGCATGCTAGATGCCTAAGCACCTCCACCATGCCTGCAGCAGAATTTTATCTGGAAGTTTCCATGTGGCTGAGAGAGACCTGCCTGCTTCTGGGCAAATGGGCAAATTGCCATGAGCTAGAAACTGCTTTCTTATGTTTATCAAGTTAGGCTGAGGTACTCAGGCTTCCTTATCTTTTAAGATATCATCTTCTAAAGCTAAATGAAGCAATGAGCTGATTGTAGATCAACTTTTTAAAAGATAAATAAGGGACCCAGCCTGGGAAGATGTTTTAGTTGGCACCACTCAAACATGAGGACTGGAGTTTGGCTCCCCAACACCAAGTAATAACCTAGAAGCAGAGGTACACACTTACAGCCTTGTCATTGGAGAGCTAGAGGTAGGATGGCCCCTGAGTCTTGCTAGCCAGGTAGCCTAGTCTAATTGGCAAGGCCCAGGTCCCACTAAGAGATCCTGCCTCAAAAAAGGTGTGGGGCCAACCAGATGGCTCAACAGGTAAAGGTACCTGCCATCAAAAGTCCGACAACCTGAGTTTAATCTCCAGGACCCACATAGTAGGAGCAGAGAGCTGACTTCTGCAAGTTGTTCTCTGACCTCTACACATGCACTTTGGTGTGCATACTGTGTGCACTCATGTGCATGCACAAACACACACACACACACACAACTGTAAGAAATACATAAAACATAACTCAGAAAGGCATTGGATGTTGACCTCTAACCTCCACAACTCTGTACACACATGC